GGGCTCTTTCTTTTATGGTATCACCAGTGTAGTATGTACCAGCACACTACTCTCCCTGGCCTCTCCCTCAGAACAATTCTAGGCGGTTGCTGCATCCCTTTTCATGTTTAGATGGAGGAAATGAAATGAGGGAAGGTTAGGGGACACTGGGGGCTGCCTGTAGCTGGGCCAGTGCAGGCTGGGAGCCAGATTGAGGGCATTTGATTCCCAGTCCCTCTCTTTCCCACTGAGCCACTCCGCCTCGCTTTTAATTTAATTAGGAGAACATTTAATCCCCCGTGCATTTCAGAGACGGGTTTGAGCCTGGCCGGGGCCTTGTGGGGCTCTGACAGGGATCCTGTGACTCATCCAGCCTTGCACAGCCCTCCCTGGAGGGCTCCCATGGGGCTTCTTTGGCACCTTGTGCAGACAGAGGTGGTCTGGAGATTCACAGAAGACAGGACACTAGTCTGGAAAGACAAGCTGGTCTCATCTGTTCTTGACAAGCCCCCTTCCCTTTCCTTCTGGACACTGCCCCCAACATGGCCCCTCTGTCTTCTCCCATCATCATTTGCAGATTGAAGCCAAGTAAGAGAAATGGGTGCTCATTGAGGTGCCACAGCAGGCCCTGATTGTCTCCAGGCCCTGAACATCCCAGGCAAAGCAGTCCCATCAGAAGAGCTAGCCCCCTGGTTCACTAATGCCCCCCTTTCTAGAAGGCATAGGCTGGCCCCAGCCTCGCTGACAAACGCAGAATTCAGGAGACATTAGTAGTGATGTGGATGAAAGCCAGGCCACAGCGGGCCTCCCTGGAAAAGAGAAACTCGAACGTCTTGGCGTGAGATTCTGCAGGGTCCAGGAGAAAGTTGAAGACATGGAAATTCTAATTAACGCACGCGGGGCTGGTTTTGCTCAAAGATTTTTGAAGCTGTCATGTCACAAGAGGCCCGGCAAGCACATGCTCGCCCGGGAGGTGCTTGTGGGCACCTGGTGGGATTCTTGTAATGCCCTAGCCTGTATTCTTACTTTCCCTCTGTCCTCTAGACTTTCCTCCACCCATCTTGGTGAACTGGGTGGGCCTTGAATATCATCCCAGAGTGGGATGACAGGCTGGTTAGTAAATAAATGTTGAGGCTTCCTGTTGAAAATGTCACAACAAAAAAAGTCAGAGGACTCAGGAACCAACCTCTTGGAAGAAACCTTCAGGGAAACCACATGGCAGAGCCAGGCTGAGCTATAGGCTGTGCTTATGGTAGGCTTGGCCTTTGGAGATGTTCATCTTGGATATCCTTGTGCAACGGATAAGGCAACAGTTCCAGACAAGTTCTGATTGGTTCATCAGAGGGTGGAGTGAAGTAGCTATAGGAGAAGCTCACTGAGGCCAAACCCAGACATGCTTCTTTAGCTTTGAGCTAAAGGTACTCATGGCCTGGGCCCTGTTTCAACATCTCTGGGAGGTACCCAGAGACCTTGCTTTATCTCAGACAAGGCTAAGGATGTGCTTTCTGTGTCAGAGTAGGACTGGCAGTCTAAAGAGTTCTTTCATCCTGGAATTTTGAGGAATTCTGGAAAAGGAATGGCCATGAGCAGCCACAGAGACTCTGCTCCCTGCCTGACCCAGGCTAGAATCAGGGACCCTTGATGATAGCCTCAAGAGGATGTGAGAGGCATCCCTGGGGAAAGGGAGGACTGAGTAGATACTGGAAAGATGTGTGCAACTCTGATGGCTACAGGACTGACAAGAGCATTCCAGCTGGTGGGATACCCATGAGCCCTTGCCAGTTAACACCAGTAAGCAGAACCCTGGAGACTTACCCTAACTAATAGCTATAAAGATACCCCCATCTCTTGTGGCAGTAAGTCTCTATTTTCTACTTGGTCCTCAGAAGTCTGGAGTAAGGCTTTGGGTAGAGAATTCATGTTGAGGGAGCTTGAGGAGTACAGGGCTCCCTTCCAGTGATGTTAGAACCAGGAAGACAGCATCTGACTGAAATATGTATGCAAGGCTGAGGCCCAGCTGCCCAGAGCTGGACAAGGCCTGGGGCTTACATGAGCTGCTGCTGAGTGCCTGTTGAGCTAGGGTCAGAGAAGCTATACTGTCTTCTCAGCACCTTTCCCTCCTTACCAGCAGCTCTCTGGTTTTCAGTAGGTCTGTACCTTGGCCACTCTGTCCCCAAACTATCAGTGGCCAACAGGCTCTGAAAAGAGGAGCTTCACCCAGCCCCAGGGACCTTCTCATAATCAAGGCTACAGTGACCTCACCTCCCTAGGGCCCCTGGGCGGGGAAAGCTTGAGATGGAAACAAAATGTGTCTTTATTTATGCTTTTAATTTGAATTCTGGAACTGGCCCAGCATGGTAATACATTTAACATCAGTAAAATGCTGAAGAAAAATGAATCTGTTTTTCTGCAACCGCTTCCCACCCACTCTGCCCCCTGCAAGACCCTAGTACACATCTCTGTCCCTGGTAGACACGTTCCAGGGTGTGTGCCTCTTTTTTCAGTGTAGGTTCATAGGGCCAGTTGCCCACAGGAGCCATGCTGCATCAGTGAGCTGCTGGAGCCTAGCTTAATTACGGACATCAATCAACAGGCTGACTGTGCAAGAGGCAAAGGAATGTAGCCCTGGTGTGGGCACGTGGACCCCTTACACAATACCCACGGTGGCCTATCTGCCCCCCCCCCCCCAGAATGGAGAGGGGTCTTGGTAAGGCCAGTAATCCTAGGAACACATAGGGTTCTAGGAACCAGACACACACCAGGCCTGTGGTCATACTCTTTGCTAGGACTCCCAGCAATGATGGCACTAGTCTTCTATGGATGTGGGTGTGTAGATTCTTAGATGCCTCAACCCTGGCCACAGCTCTGCTTTGACCAGATCATATATATATATATATTTGCTCAAGCCTGTGATCTCTATCTCTACCTTTGGTCTTTTTAACTTGGGAACATCATGGGCTCCTTCTTTCCTACCTTCCTAGGTTGGTTCATTCCCAGCTGCTGCATTTGGAATAAATTGGCCTAGAAAGGGTCTTGGTGTGTTCTTGGGTGGAGACTTGATTGGATAAAGACTGTCCACCTACTCAGGCTCCAGGAATGCTGGCCTGAGAAGAGCCATGGTACCTGGAAAGATGGTGATACACTAGGCCTATAGCAGCCAAGAAAGCATCATTCATGTCTCTGAGGCTCTGTTACCTTAGAGTGGAGATCAGAATTGCCTAGTACTCTGAGCAATGTTGTCTTATTTATTGGCTTAGGGCTGCTTCTGGAACAGATAGACAGTGAATGTGTGGCTCCAGGAGTTTTGAGTATACTAACACCAGCACAGATGGTCCTTTGCCCCGAAAGGGGTGGTTGATTACAGGGCAGCTATGGACTGAACTATGGGCATGTGCCACTAGTATCCTCCCTTGCTTGGGACCCTGTTGGTACTTTCTTTCAGAAAACTCACAGTAGCTAGGAGATGATGTGAAACATATTTGTCCATCTGGGTAGACAGTTTGTTGAGAGCGCTACTCTCTCTTGATACAGCTGCTTTTTGTGTCTGGAGGTTGCTCCATGGCCAGAAAAATAAAACAGAATGGGTACCAATGAGAGGTGAGTGATCAGGGGGACAAGAAGGCTGAGTGGCCTTTCCAGGCTAGGCAATTCCCTGGGGCCTGTTATGGTTGCCATGGTGCTACTTACTATCCCTACTCCTAAGCAGGCACTGGCATATCACATACAATACAAGACACCAATGTTTATACTTGGAGTTGTCTCATGCCCTGGACTTGATGGAGAAACTTAACCATAGTGTAAGCTATTTTTCTACCCACTGATGCTAGCCTATACCTGCCTAGCCTGACTGGACTGGACTCCTTCTCTGTTCTGCCTGCTAATGCAGCCAGCCGCTAAGGCTGTCTCAGGAGGGAGAGTGACCCCTGCTTCTCAATACCATTCTGGCTCTCTCTGAACCCACTATCACTCTCTACATCTTACAAACCATGAGACACTGCTAACCTTTTGAGTTTGGATGGCTTGGGAAGATAGTGGGCATGGCTTGTTTGATCCTAATCATTCCTCTGACAAGCCTGCCTTCCCCCAGGGTAGCCTCAACTTGGCTATCTGGTTACTTGAGAACCCCTTAGCACTGTGAGTCCCAGTTTCTTCAGTCATTGCAAAGTCAAGCCTGAAATCTAGGTATAGGCCAGAAGCATTATGACCAAGCACACAAAGCTAAGGAGATGAATTTTAGTAGAAAAGAGTCCCAGTATGTGAATCTCAGGAGAGCTAAGAGTATGACATTGACATCCTGACACAAAGACACTTTTCCAGGGGAGTACCCAGTGCAGCAGTGGTCAGAAGGGGTCTGAGTGACCTGCTTCCACCATTTCGCTGCTTCTACTGGGCTTTGGTAGGAACATTTGAGTCACATGTTGCAGAGAAATCACAGCATGGCTGGATACTGGAGATTGGCTTGGTGATGCTGTGATGGGGCCCAAATGGGGGGAGAGGATGGGCATGTGTCCCAGGCCAGCTGTGCCTAGGGGGAAGGCCAACTGGAAGGCGTAGAAAATCAGCCATTTCCTCCACCTGAAGGAGACCCTGAGGACAGTAGTGGCAACTGGCAGGCAACACCCGGCATCTGCCCTATGGCTTTGGCCAAAATTCCATGGGGAAATGCTAAAAAATAAAGTTGATTCTCTTGAAGGAGTGGTGGAGGGGTTTAGGGGAGGGGGAAGAAAACCAATTTTCTCAGACGCTCAAAGCATGCAAACAAGTGGAAAATGATCAGTCTGGTTTTCCATAAGTCAAAACAAGAGGATCGTGTTTCCAGATTCGGTGGGAAAGCCCCTGCTCCTCTCTCCTGCCTGAGCCCTGAGGCCAGCCCCAGCAGCTAGTATCCCCAGGTTCTTAAGGACAGGCAGTGAGTTCTGGATACTGAGTAAATAGACTGCATCCCAGCAAGAGGATAAGCTTTGCCCTATGCCAGGGCAATTCCCTTCAGCTCCAGCCTTTGTGGGCAAATGGACACTCACTGTGATACATGGGTGATGGGGGTCAGCAGTGTCTCCCCTTCCAGGTCCAGGTCCTCAGCAAAGCTGTTTGTTCTCAAGAAATGGGGTGTGCTTACTTCCAGCAGTGTAGGGCTCTTCCTTACTGTGAAGAAGGCATGGTAACAGTTCATTAGGCTTCGGTAGAAACTTGATAATGAAGGGGCTCCAGAACTGGACAGAACTCAACTTAAATGTCTACCCCAACTTGCTGCTGCTTTGGGATAAACCTGTGAGCTCTCAAGATCAGGTGAAGAGTAAGGACAGAGCTTAGTTAGAAGCTTCAGCCTTACCCATCAGGTTGGTTTATACTGAGTGGAATAAGTGAATGGGCATTCTGACTGGTTCCCACGTACCTGGGCCTCAGCCTCCCAGAGTAAATGATAAAGGCTGGTACATTCACAGTAGTGTGGTAACTGCCCTGGGACTGAGTTCCTGAACTGAGTGAGGTCCTGCCCTATGTTAGGTTCTGGGCCTCTCACCAGCTTCACACTAAACATTTGTGCCAAGAACAAATGCAAGCACTGGTCCCCAGTACTGTGCTCTTCACAAACACACTGACAGATCAGTGGACCAGGCAGCAAAGGGTGCTAGTACCTCTGCCTATTAGGAATCACAAGCCGAGTTCCTTGTTCTGGCCATGATACCATATTAACCAGGTGCTCTTTGAGAGAGGCTTCCAAACTGTCCCAATAGCTGACTTCCATAGCTCAGAAGACTGATCCAGATCAGTCTTCACAGAGTTTCCAAGCTTACCAGTGTTTGTTCTCAACTCCCTTCTCCTTTAAAGTATTTAATGTAGAAGTATCAAGTACTTCTGGTGAATGGAATATTGAAAAATCCAGAGTGGTCCTCAATTATAGGAGTCACCTGCCGGCTGGATCCCTGGCTCCTGCCTGGCTTTTCTCATCACAGGTAGCACAAATGCCATGTTATAAACTTGGACAGACTTCTGTTCCTGTCAGTTTTTCTTATTCTGTGACACTATTTTCTTCAGGTATGCAGCTATGCATCTAATGATCATTTTAGCACCACAAGAGCGCATAGCTTGGGTCTACCACAATTAATTTACTTATCCCATATTTTTATGGATGTTTAGTCTTGTAGGCTTATGGCAGACAGTGATGTAATATCCATCTTTATTGTTAAAAGTTGCTGACACACTGGGCAGGTGAAATGGCATATCTTTGGTAATATTAATAAGTGCTTTTGGATTGTTCTTCTGTTAAGTTGTAGCTAACTATTCTTCCTCTCCAATTTTGCTTGGCCTTTCAAGCATGGATAAAAACTGAGGTTTTCTCATTTTCAAAATTGTTATTAGTTCTTTGAGAAATGGTCAATGAACTTTGATCTTATTCACCATTTCTCCTCCCAGATCCATTCCCACCTACCTCCTAACTACCCAATTTTGTATCCTCTTGTTTTAAAATTTAATAATCCATCAACTTCAGTTTGTGCTCTTTATGTACTTCTGGGTGTGGGGCTGCACACTGGAGTATGATTGACCGACTAGGAATTATAATGTTAAATAAAAACTGACTCTTCCTCCCCAGGAGCCATTAACTGTCCATAGCTTATGAAGAACCTCTTGTGGTTGGTGAACTTCTTCTACTCAATGATACAATATTGATTGGCTTGATCTTATGTAGGCAATCATGCAGCTGTCCTGTCATGTCCAGAAGTTAGTTTTATTCCAGTCCTCTCCTATCTCTGGCTCTTATTGTCCCCCCACCCCCTTCTACAGTGGTCCTGAACCTGGGAGTGGGGGATGGTCTTCTCATTTTCATCTTTACTGACTGCTTCTGGCTTGTTTGGGATTCTTGCAGAATTGACCATTCATAACCTTTGCTTGGCATTAATTCATTAGAGATAATAACCTAGTGTTACACGAAGCATAAATAACTTTCTTAGTCTATGTTTGGCCTTTTAACACTGTTGTTTTTATCATAAAGACTGTCTTGTTTTTTTACAGTGATACATTTACTTTATGGAATGGGTTTCCCACATCTACTACAGCAGTCTTTTACATTTATTTCCAATATAAACATACAAATGTGGGCATACATCTGTATGTGTGTATAAATTTTAACACATTTAGCATTTATGCGTAACGCCAGGGATGTTTAGCAGTCATAAAATGGAAATTCAAGAGTACTATATATAGTCTTACTTTTTACAAATCTGAAATAGAACATAAAACTAAAAAAATTGAGAAAACATCAAAATCTCTAGGACTTCAGATTTGAAAGTAAATTGAGATACAACACTGAAAATTTACTCCGAAAGAGGGGGGAGGGCATCAACTCTGTTATAATTAGAAACAAATGAGTTATTCCTGAAACAAGTGCATTTTGCTAAGTAGCAACAGAAGCAAAGAGAAACAATGCTTTGCTTTGTGAAGACAATGAGACAAATCACAGATTTGCTGTACATCACTTATGGAATCAAGGACTCGTACCCAGAGCATATGAAGAATGATCATAATTTGACCACAGTGAAACAAACAACTCATCTTAAAAAGTGGATTACAAATAATCATGTGAAATTGTGCTTGGCCAAAGTCCATGATGGTCTTTATGGAAATACAATATTAAAGCTGCAGTGAGATTACCCTGAAAATCATCATGAAGATGGATAAAATGTAAAGTTAAAACCTTGTAACAGCAAGCACTCCAAGGAGGCAGAATGACTGCAACCCTCATGTGCCAGAGGTGAGAATGCAGAGTGGCCCAACTGCTCTGAAGAACATACTTCATAGTCTTATGAACACAGATATGGTCTATGACTCAGTATATGGAATATTTATGTTCACACAAATCTACACTCATATATAGCAGTTTCACCTCTAGTTGCAACAAACAAGTAATAACCAAGATGTTAACAGCTAAATGAGAAGTCATGGTGCATCCATTCCACCTATGCAGTGGAATAATATCCAGAAATCAACCGGAATATTGGAGGTCCCTGGGACAGGTAATAGACCACGGTGAGTAGACTGTGTGTTGCAAATTCATGATACAGCACTGAAAAGAGAAAGTGGGTGGAGGAACTGGCCAAAGTTGCTTTTAAAAATGTTTGGACTAAAGAAAAACTAAAAACTAAAGACAAATACTGACATAAACACAATATTCTTGTAGGTAGTTTTGTTTCATACAGGGATGCTACATATCAAGGAGTATACAAACCAGTACCTATAGTAGAAAATCGGAGCTGAGGACCAAGTAAGGATAGTCAGAAACAGTATAAACTCAGAGTTAGCTGCATATAGACACAAACAACAACACAGATGTATATAGACTTTAGTTATGGACATACACATTCCCTAGTTCTACCTGTTGAAAGGAGATTTAAACGGTGACCCTTTTGTGGCAAAGAACATACTCAGTGCCCAGATCTTATTTTCTAACACTGTTAGTTTGCCAATAAAAGCAAATATAGCTCTTTAGAAGAATGGAAGCTTCTGGGGTTAGCACAGGGAAACTACAAGATGAACCTAAAAGGAAATAAATGGAAAGCATGTCAAAAGGGCTGGTGTGCAAGTGGCTAAAGCTAGAAAAAGTTCAGGGATGAAACAATACTACTCAGTTATAACTAAGAAACACACTTGCCAAGTCCATATTCAAAAATGACTGAAAAAGGGATGAAGGTCTTTCTTCCAGAGTGATCCCTAGAAGTGTAGAAGGAATGAGTTAACCAAGTGTACCATAGAAATGCTTGCTTCAAGAAAGATCCATGGGTGAAAGCTAAAATTAGTAGGTGAAGTCTTAAGTACAGACTTCAAAGTCTCTCCTGCCCATAGGTTTCTTTCCCCCCACCCCCAACCCCGTGACATTGATTGAATCCAGGGCTTTGTGCATGCTAGACAAGCATTCTGCCACTAAGCTACATCCTTAGTCCCAAAATAAATTTTAATTGCTTTAGTGACTTTAACACATTCACAGAGTCTCTAATACTCTTTTGCAAGAGATAAAATGAAATTCCTCATTCCCTGAATTTTGGCTAGACCTGGTGACTTGCTTTTAATATCTAGGTCTAATAAAGATGAAATAGTAGGTCAGTTACAGTGAGCTATTTAATCATGTAATGTTGACACCATGTTGATGGAAGAAAAAATGAAAAAAGCACCGTGCCTTAATGACATTTACCAAACCTGTAACTCTATTCTAATTTTGAGAAAACCTTAGACAGACCCAGAGTAGCACTGACATTTGATGAGGATTCAAAAGCATCAACTCCAGTGACAGTACTGAGAAGCTGCTGGTCACAGGGCACTAAGGACCTGTAGAATGAGTGTGATGGCAGATATTGGACAGGCCCTTGGAGCATGAAGTAGTTAAATTGGGAGAAGGACTAAGCTGTAGCTCAACAGTGTTGTATCAAATTAAACTTGTTTTAGTTTTCATCAAATTAACATAGTTATGTCAGGTATTGCAGTGAAAGGTACACTGCAAAACTATTTTTGGTTTTCTTTTGCAAGAATATGTACTATACATGCAAATAAAACATACATGTGTTAAAAGGGAAAGAAGCAGAATAGTAGAAAAGAGTCCTAAGTGTATAAAGATAGATACAATCTATGAAGAAAAGCACAAAACTTTAAACAGAGACACTGACAAACAGAAAATGCCTTTATTGCATTTACAAAACACTCAAAAAATTCTGGAAAAAAAAAACTTCCTAAATTTTAATGAAAATCCTAATGTTTCTGATGAATACCCTGACAAGCAGATTCTAAGATTTATTTGGAAGTGTAAAAGACCAGGAAAAAGGAATATTCTTTAAGAACAGGGTGGCTAATATGCTTACCAAACACAAGTACTTCTGCGTAGTGGTCATTAATACAGCATGGAACTGATTCAAGGAGAGACTCAACTGGCTAGTGGGACAGGACTGGATGTCAGAAAACAGGCCTACACATGGACACTTGCAATGTATTAAAGGCTTATCATGAGATGGCCTTTTAAATAAAACATTCAAGGACTAGGAAATTCACATGGGGAAAAGACTAAATTGGGCCCTTAATTTTCTCACAGCAATAAATTGAAAATTCATTCTTGGCATTTCAGTGCTTATGACAAGTAGAACTAGAAGGACCATAGGCCTGGA